AAGGATCCAGAATTCATAATCAAAGACAATTGATTTTAATATTTCTTGTCATTTTCCTTATCTTAGGAGTAGTTTCACATAGATTTATATTTCGAAACATTTATTTTAAGCATTTCATTTTCAAAACATTTTATGCACTTCCTTTTCGAAGCATAGGAGTAGAAGTAAGTAATTTTTACTATTGATTGTTCACTCAATTGTCTTTTTTCGTCTCCCTATTTCTTCTTTCAATTTTTCTTTTCTCTACACTTGGCAATTTTGAAGTCCATTTTATTGAGGCAACAGAACTGTCAACGCAATCGGTTGATAATTGGCTTGAAATTAATTTGTAAGGATTTTTCAATCCTTGCCGGCACGCTCACATTTATGATATTTTCCTTCGTAGGAAAAATAAGCCAACAATTTTTGGCATGCCCAGTGGGACGTCAAGTGTAATAATTGGAAAATGAATTGGATTTGTCCATTTCAAATAGCGTAGATGAAATTTATTGGCGTAAACAAGAAATTTTGGATCTTCAAGAAGAGATCCATTTTTTTGATGAAATAAAATTTCATCCCTTGCAATATTATTTGGCGGAAGAAAAAAGACACCATTGAATTGGAGAAATTCATCAACTTGATATGGAAATTCGCCAATGGAATGATGGGTTATCAACTCTCACTACCAAGTCTTTAACTGAGGCCTTAATGGCCAGAATTGGTGAATTTTTTCAGATTTTTTCCATGGTTAAAAATAGCAAAAACAAAGAGTTGATTTCATCAATGGCTCAGGGGGTTCAAGAGTCCGTTTTTAAAGAGCCAAATTATGAAATTAACATAACGAAAGAGCAAGTTCTTGAGCCAAATTTGGCCAAGAATGATGTTCCATGCATGGCTTGGGAGGTCTCAAAACCAATTTTTAGAGAGTCAAGTCATGAAAATAACATATCTATGAGTGATTTTCATAAGCCATTAATGGCTAACATGGAAAAACAACCCACTTTGCCAAATAATTATGAAAATCTATTCGGCAAAAGTCATGTTTTTAAAACAAACATGGTCAAAAATAATGAACAAGCCACTGTTCATGAATTCAATTTTTTTGACATTTTTCAAAATGTCAAAAAGTATGAATTTTCATGGTCACACTATACCACGACTTTTGTTGTTCGAAATCCATTTTGGATTTGTGGATCACATCAAACGTTGACTTTGATGGAATGACTAACCAATAATATTTCGTTATTGCAATATATTGAGCAAAAAAAGTTGTTATTAGTTGATCCATAAAACCATCACCATTTTGTTTTGTGGTTACTTTCGAAGCATGTCTCAAGACACTTCGAAGTAGATTATTCATTGAAATATCATTTTATAGCCATTAATGGCTAGTTAAAATGCCAAACTAATTTCATAATAATCCAACTCTTTAGATTTAGTTCGAAGAGATGTCGTGAGCACTTTCGAAGGATGACTTTAATACTTTAGTAACATATGTGACTTTCGAATGGTGGTTTTGTCATCAATAAACACCTTCGAAATGTAACATGGGACAAGAAAGCTTTCGAAATGTGTACCTCCCTTCAAATATATGTAAAATGGAAATTAATTTATTATCGAATAATGCCTATTTTTGGCATGATAATTAGTGGCTTTACTGATAACCATTTTCATAGCCATTTGTTACATGAAAATGTAACTAGTATTCTATAAAAGTTGGTTCGAAGAACAACGGTTTTGGTGTCTTCAGAGAATTAATAATTGGTTTAAAGCATAAAATTAATATTTTCATTAATTATGTGTGAACCAAAACATACAAAATTTGAATAACCACAATGTTGGCCAAAAGTTGCTTCGAAAGCCATTTTGCCATAATTTTGTAAGGTTCGAAGCACTCCATCTTGCATCAACAACAGCTTTGAAGAAAAAATAGTGATAGTTGTGAACCTTCGAAGCTTTGCCGAGTATTTCCAAGGATGTAATTCGTCCTTTGTTGGCGTTTTCGACCTTCGAATGATAATTGTAGTCCTCTATACCACCTTCGAAGCTGGTTATTTAGCATGTGTAACAGTTTGCTAAGGTGAATCATTGGCTTTGTCTTGAAAATATGTGGTTATCCTTCAAAACTTTTCTGCAATAATATCCCTTCAATGCGTATATATATAATTCGCAACATCTAGTCATAATTTCATGCTCATTCAAAGCAGTTTATTGGTGCTATTATATCATTCGAAGCACTTTGTTGATATTATTCGAAGTACTTTATTGCTTAGATTAGTCATGTGCTTGATTCGGCCCTTCAAAAATTCAAATAAACATCATTTTTAAGGGCCGCAGGGGGTAATGTTAGCACCATAAATCTGCAATTTTTGTTATTATTTATTATTTATATAATTGCAGGACATGTGGCATCCTCCTACTCATTTGGAGGTTATGAGAAGTTATGAAGGCATGGAGGGTTATGTGGCATAATGGGAATGAAGATGGAAGAGTGGGTAGTTTTAGGTGGTTATTGGGTAGTTATTGCTAGAAGTTTTTTCCTACAAATATTTTTCTATAAATAGCCATTCATGGTTACATTGTAAAGGATCCAAAATTCATAATCAAAGATAATTGATTTCAATATTTCTTGTCATTTTCCTTATCTTAGGAGTAGTTTAACATATATTTATATTTCGAAGCATTTACTTTCAGCATTTCATTTTCAAAGCATTTTATGCACTTCTTTTTCGAAGCATAGGAGTAGAAGTAAGTAATTTTTACTATTGATTGTTCACTCAATTATCTTTTTTCGTCTCCCTATTTCTTCTTTTAATTTTTCTTTTCTCTACACTTGGCAATTTTGAAGTCCTCTTTATTGAGGCAAAAGAACCATCAACGCAATCGCTTGATAATTGGCTTGAAATTAATCTGTAAGGATTTTTCAATCATTGCTGGCATGCTCGCATTTATGATATTTTCCTTCGTAGGAAAAATAAGCCAATAGAACTTACTACCTATCTAGATATACACGACTGATTAAAATTGGGCTCACTACAAGAATTACCACTTTTGGCAACAAAAAAATTGGTCGCTAAAAGTCAATTTTTGGTCGGCAAAAGTTATCCGCGACCAATTTTTTTGGTCGCTACTTTGGTCGCCAATTGAGGGTCGGCAAAAGTAATTCGCGACCAAAATTGTGGTTGGTCAGCAAAAGTTGGATTTCGCGACTAAATTTTTGGTCGCTAAATATTTAATTACCGCGACTAATTTATTTTGTCGCCAAAACACTTTGGTCGCGAAAAGTGAAATTTTCCCGACCAAAAAGTTTGGTTGCCAATTATCACATTCAACGACCAAAAAGTTTGGTCGCTAATGGTGACATTCCGTGACCAAAAAATTTTGGTCGCCAATCGTGACATTCCGCGACCAAAAAAGGTTTTGGTCGCCATTTGTTAATTTTCGCGACCAAAATTTTTGGTCGGCCAAAGTGAGTTTCCACGACCAAGAGCTGTTTTTGGTCGGCAATAGATGTATTTTTTGCGACCAAAACTCTTGGTCGGCAATTGTTATTTTTTGCAAAAAAAAATAATTTATTTGTCACGACTACTAAATTGGTCGCCAAAGCAAGAAAACAATACACCTGTAATTCCTAATAATTCATTCAATCCATAATAAACCTATAATTTTAAAGCATCATTCAAATTAACTGAATCATTAACATTCGACACAATACAACTATTCTAAATTTTCATTCACAAGTCACATCCATCTAGCATAACAATTTGAAACATAACTTGTTACATGCTCAGCCATTTACTTCATTCTAACTATTCTAAGTTTGCTCAGCCATTTACTTCATTCCACCCTAATGTGACATGCTCTCCTCCAGATGGTCCAGACCTTGAGAAATCAAGGGTGAAAACAGCCAGATCACTCGGCTTCAGACGGATAGTATAAGAAGGGCAGCATATGCTTTCCATCTCAGGTTTGTAAAGGAAACAGCCAGATCTTCTCCAACCTCTGTCAAGAAGGGCTACAGGGCAAAAATATATTGGAGCCCGTGAATACAAATACATTTTAATCAACATCTATCCATTTATCGTACAGGACAAAATATTGCCAAAACATCTCATTGTTAATGAATGAACATCACGACCACACCACCTTCCCCAAATATGAATTAATTAATAAACATCTCATTTCATATTTGGATTCATGCCCTGATAAGAGTCTTAACACAGTTTTGTCTACTTATGTGCATGTGCAGCTTTATTTTTATTTTATTCTATTTTTGCGCACGCACGCCTGTGTGTGAGAGAGAAAGAGAAAACCAATAATGAAATTCTGAATAGGCAAACGATACCATGCCTACTTGAGTTGAGTCCAACTCTTGGGATGACAACAAGAACCATTTGATTTTAATGATACCATTATTTAAGTATTCCACCAATAGGTTCAAGGCAAGACAAAGTAACCATATTGACTTTCGACTATGGTTCCTATATGCAGTATGTAGGAAGATTGAATCAAGAAACATCTCAACTTGGTGATGCTTCTCTCCCTTTTCTTCCATGCTATGATTTCACTCTATTTAGTTTCCGAAGAGAAAAAGAGAATTCCAAAATTCTAACATACATTCTCAGCAACGAAACTAAGCACAAAAGAATAATTGAAGAAAAAAAAGTTCTCCCCAATTAAAAAAATGGAAAGCTGAACAAAGAAATTTTACCTGAAAAGTGTGTGAATATCAGCTGTTGTGGAAACCATTTGGCCTGAAAAGTGGAAACCTGACAAATTAAATCATTTCATCTACAAATATCAACAATTAGAGGTGATAACCATTTGGCCCTTCTAATCTACACATTTGTACCTTACTCGCCAATTAATTTTTATATCACGTGGTGTCAGATAGTCAATTTCAAATCCCTTTTCACATTTCAACAGTATTACTCACATGCTCTGGCATATGATACAAACCATAAAGTATGGGTGTCGCACTTCAATACTAGCAGTGTATCACAAAGTTATCAGATGCAGAATAAGATCAATTTAAAGAACAATATGAGAACAAGAAAAAAGATACCAGGAACTCAACATGTATCAAAACTTGATAAATTCAAAGTACCCACCACATATGCGTTGGGCATACGTCAATGAAAACCAGTTTTCAGCTTGCTCAGTGTTAGTGACTTCTTCCTCACTCTCCTAATATACATAAAAGGGAAGAATAATAATAGGCTATAATCCAAGCAGGTTTCCAGGTTGCTCAAACTATAACTGATCAAAATCAATCCTTCGATCATTTAAACTTCATTATCATCATAAGGTTGACAAAGGATTCCTATAATCACTTAGTGCTCTTAGTGCTGACATTAAAATAATTTGTCTCCCTCTCAATTTTTCATCACAGTTGGTTGAAAGCAAATATTTGTGGAAGCTGCATGATTTCACAATAATGGAGCAAAAGTGTCGGATGAAATTCATCTTTTGAAAAACTTACTATGAAAATCGAGGTTAGTTTTCTATTCGTACTTAGTTTAGCATTCATCCAGCTGTTAGAACCTTTCAAAATTTTTGAATTTAACTTTGGGAAAAGGCCAGAAAGCCAAGGTAAAGCCAAGTTGCACATAAAGGCAACTAATGATGGTACAGTTCGTGCTGTTGTTTCATGGTATAAATGTTGGTACCGTAATTACTATTTTCTATCAAAATTTTTTCTAGGGATGGTTATTCCAATATCTCAGTTTCTTTTTCAGGTGGGTACTTTAGCTTGATTGTGAAGCGACAATTTTCTATTCCACTGGCCCAAAATGGATAAGTTTCCCATTCAACAAGGAGTTACAGTTATCATTCCCTAGTGAGTGAAGGCGTTTTACATTACTTTATGTAATTATAATGTTCTAAAGTGGTGTTTGGAAGTTGCCTTAGAATGAGGAATCAATTAACATATAAAGCATGATGCTTTTTGGTTATTTGTTTATGTTGTCTCTTAGTTAGAATTAGGGAACAAAAAAGTGATGGCTAAGGATAGTGCTAAAGCATGTTACTTTAATGAAACACACTTTTTTTTCATTTTCTTAGTTGGACATCCTAAATCATTTGAAGAAGTAGGTCATATCTGCTTCTAGAAATCACACAAGTATTTGAAGTTGGTTGCAAGTAATTTAACTAGAAATTAGATCTCCATATGAATGCATTAATGCATCTTTCTATTGTACTTAAGACTTAATTGGAAGTAATGTATTTACGAAGCTATTCTCAAATTCAGAGTAGGAAATTATACATGTCTACTTTCAGCAAAGGGTTCAATTCTTGAGCAGCTCTTGGTAGATGGTGAACTAAATAAAGCTTACATATTGGGATCCTCCGCATCAAATTCTGTAATTTGACGCTCAATTAATAAAAGGTGCATTTTATGATTGTTATTTATTTATTTATTTTAAATTGGTTTTCATTTTATCAAAATTTTAATTTTCTTTGTTTCTTGTCTAGGTTCAGGGGATTGGTGTGACCACTAGAAACAATGTGCCTACTTAACACCATCAAACTTAATAGTCCTCAATATAATATGCGCAAACCTTTTATGTATACCTCGCTGGTGTTTCATCATTTGGATGCCCCATTTCATAGGGAAACCAAGTGTAGTTTTCATTATTCATTTTAGAAGACAAACTACAACAATTAACACCCTCTAAAGGTAGACTAGATTCAAATTGGATATGGGCAATATTATTTCTGAATTTCAAAAAATAAAGAAAAAAATGAATCATCAAATAATTTCAGAAGGTAAATCCATCTAGTTCAGTAAACCATAAAAGCACCTCAAAGGAGCATAAGAATAGGCTAACCTCACCAATCCCCATAAAGGCACACATGACAATCAAGAAAGGAAGCCCAACTCTGGCAGCAATAGGTGTCAAAACTGTTGTAGCTGACGACCAGATCACTCCAAAATCCAATACTAGTTTCCCACTAATTTTATTTGCCCAGATACCTCCAAGAATCTATTTGCCAAAGAAATATAAAAAAAATCTAGTTAGTAAAGAAGGATGGCAAGAATTAAGTTTTGACCTTCAATAAAACAAAAAATTACATGGAAGGACAATATCTCATCAAGAGCAATGAAGAGTTGATCACTATTTCAAATGTACAATCATCAAAGTATGTGGATTACAATTTCAACCACTGGCTTAGATGATGACAGCCAGAAGCATACAGATTCAAAATCGTGACTGTTAATTGTTTCCAGATAAAAGGACCAAGACCCACTATAGGTGATAAACAAGAAGGGTTGTGTGAGTATGTGTGTGCACGCTAGATATATCTGCATTACAATTCTAAAAGTCCAAGTATCAGGGTTGATACAACATATAAATGACATTTGAAGATTAGAACCAATTGCTAGTTCTGAGTTAGTGAAAAAAAAAATAACAATTTTAAACCCCTTAGAACCATATATGTGGGTGGTGGAAGTTAGAAAAAGCACTTTTATGGAGTTTTACATAAATTCTAAAATTGCCTTTTCTAAAAAGCAAAAACTGCCAATGTTCGAGTCAACCTGAGTGAGGAGATAGCCCCAGAAAAAGGAAAAGTGAATGAGACCAACTGTTGCACTGTTTTAGTTAAACTCTTGTGACATTGGAAGTATTGCAGTAAAACTGCCAATGTTTGAGTCAAGCTGAGTGGGGAGATAGCCCCGGAAAAAGGAAGACTGAATGAGACCAGCTGTTGCACCGTTCCAGTTAAACTCTTGTGAAAATGGAAGCATTGCAATGCTCATATTCACCTAACAAGAAAAATTTAGAGCAGTTAGAATTTGAAAATATGATTTCATCTTGGTTAAGAATTGTTCAATATAATAGAACTGCCTTGCAGGTTGCAACTACTCAGGAGGAGAAGAAATATTCACAGTGAAAGCTAAAAATTATTTCAGAAAATATAGAAGAAAAAAAAGATTCAAGATTTGGTTTTTATAGACTATCCTCTGTTTCCCAATTACCAAATAAAGTAGCTGAGGAAAATACTCACTTTTTAATGATTCCTCATTTTGATATTTGCTCAAATTTAGGTCATTTGGAAAGAATGAAGTAAAATCTCACTGGTATTGCCTAATGCGAACAACTAATTGGCTTCGGTTGGTGAATTTTTTTTTTTTTTTGGGTGAATAAGACATAAAATAGAACAAAAAAATTTACAAGTTTATAGGGGACATGCCCTAGGCCCTACCCACACAACACAACAGCTAAGAAGCCACATGTAACGAAACCACTGAAGCAAAGCCACACAACAACAGCCAACAAAAAAAAACATCTAAAAGAAGGAAAAAATATTAACAAACTAACTAACAAAACCTGCCTTCAACCATCTTCATTGAGCATAGGCACCACACAGAGCAAATCGAACAAAATATTGTTCAAGAACCATGTCCAGTAGAGGATAGGGGTCTTACACAAAAAAGCCAACAACAAAAAGAAAACTGCAACCAGCAAATGAGAGAAACAAGCCACAAAAGGCCAATTCAACAAACACAGAGGCAGCACAGTGCGGAGACAGCCTAGACAACACAGATACAACAACAGAGAAACTGTAGCCGTAGCCCTAAGCCCAACGATTGGTGAAATTTAACAGTCCAGAATCCAATTCATCCATGAAAATGAAAACAAATAAACTCAACAAATCCAAATATTTGTGGAAAAAAAAAAGACTCAAACGAATAGAGGAGAGTATGGTGAGAGAGACCGATACGGGGATGAGGTTTGAGACCAGCCGTGGCTATCCTCTTCGCGAAAGCTTCTCGGTACTTCGACATGTCGATTCAGTCGTCTTGTCGAATGGAAAAATTGCAGAGTAAGTGATTGATGGACGCATTTGAGGGATTTAGAGGAAGGCAATTCAATGGTTCAAAATAGTGATGGGGCTTTTGATTTTGCCTTTGCCTTTGTTTCTTACTACAGAAAGAGCAATAATGGTGGAGCAAGGGTTATGGTCAGTCACTCTCCCTCTCCCCTCCACCCCTCTCTCTCTCTCTCTCTCTCTCTCTCTCTTATGTGCCTTTTGAGGAACCCTAGTTCTTTTGATTATAAAAAGCCCAAGAGTTAAATGTATTTGAATTTTTTTTTTAATATATGTTTTAGTGTTTGGCGCCTAATTTTGTTTTTTTTACTTTGGCGTCTATTTTTTTTTTCATACTATTTGTGCACCGTAAAAAGTGAAATATATTTAACAGCTAGCATACGTGTGTCGTGTATAGTTAATATATTAACGGCATGGTATATGCATGTCATAAAAAACTTTATTATTTACGACTAACATTGCAAGTCATAAAAAAATCATCATTATTAACATTCACGACCTACGCAATAGACATGTCGTGGTTGGAAAATTATTTACGACATGCAAAAAAGCAAGTCGTAAAAATGAAAAACCATGGCTTGCATTTACGGTATGTCGTTGATGTGAAACCGTAAAAACTCAGTTTTGTTGTAGTGTTAATGGGTTTATTTTGTGATCTAATTCAATGATCATTTTAATTTTACAATTCAGTAATTAGAATATTTAAAACTCTTTGAAAACTTGTAATAAAAAATACAAATCACTAAATTACATCATTCCACTAGCAAAACTTTTACCGATAAATAGTGTTATCATTGCTAAATGGTTAACTCTTTGTCCACGCCAACTTGTCATCGCCAAAAGTATGCACACTAATAGCAACGCTCATTGTGTTGCTAAAACATAAGCCAAGTTTGAAAATGATAATTAACAAAAAAGTGAAGGCTAAGGATAGTGCTAAAGCATGTTACTTTAATGGATAATCTCATTTCTTACGAATTTGTATTCATTTCCCCCCTCCATGTTTCAAATTTCCCTCCCAAATTTTTCGCGACCAAATGACCAGATTAGTCGCAAAAAAAGGTACCTTCGCCGACAAACTTTTTAGTCGCCAAATCTCAATCAACATCGACTAAAATATTAGTCGCTAAAAGTACTAATTTGGCGACTAATTTTTTTTGGTTGCTGAAAATAAGTTTTTGGCGACCAAATTTTTGGTCGCCAAAAAATATGTGACATTCCGCGATCAAATTTGTAGTTGGTCGGCAAAAGTATACCACTTTCTGCGACCAACTCATTTTTTGGTCGCCAAAATATAACTTTCTGCGACCAATAATATTTGGTCGCCAAAAATAATGATCATTCGCGACTAATTAATATTTGGTCGCCAAAGGTCATTTTTTTGCGACTAAAATTTTTTTGGTCGGCAAAAGTGGTCGCAAAATGTGTAAATTCTTGTAGTGGCTGGATATCAATGAAAACTCCCAAATATCCGTGAAAAGAGTTTTGTCAAGGAATTAATGCCACTATTGTTAACTTTCAGCCTTGATTTATCCATTAAGAATTTTTGATTTATAGATCAGAGTTATTTCATCTTTTTTGGGGGTGAAATTTTATATTCTGTGAATTTTTTTCTGGGATGCTGAACCAACTTAACAAGGGTGTAGTTTTTGTGCTTGGCATGGACTTTCTTTGCCCCAATGGTGGAAAGATTGTGGTGTCAGACTGGTTGTGTAGTTCAAGTCTCTAAACTTACAAAGTTTGGTTCATAGTTGTTTGTAGGCATCATTCCCACTGGCATAGTGTGGAACTGTTTATGTGGTCCATAGTAAAAATTCATGCTGAGTTTATTGAGGTTGATACCCTTAGAAACTGGGATGCGCAATCAAAATTTTTCCAATCAAATTTAATGAGTAGAGAAATACTAACAAACTTGATACGCATGAGTATTTGTGCTCAAATCTGGCGTGTATGTGATGTAAGCATTTGGTATTCGCTAGCATCATATTTTAATACAGTCGACTTGAAGAACAATAAGAAAAATAAAATAAGAATGGAATAGAGAAGAGTGAAAGAAGAGAGAGGTGAGAACGCCTTAGTGAAATTATGGTTTGGCTGAGATTGACAGGTATTCAACAAAACTGAAATGTATAATCAAGCAATGCGGTTGAGTCCTATGCCTTGACAGAATTCAAGGACTTCTTTGGACGCAATTGATGGAAGGAAACAAACACAAACTAGAACTGGAATTAAAGATAAAATTGAACTTGTCACTGAATTACAAGAACCAGAAACAAGAACAAAGTTACAGGTTACAATCTACGATCTAACCGCTACACTAAGTTGCAAGAAAACTACTTCTAATGACTAACCGGCTCTACTCCTAAATTTCTCAAGTATTGTGAATGGGATTGAATGATGCTTTCTTCTTCGAAATCCCTACTTTTGATCATTTGCTTTGGCCACAACTGCTGCAGCCACGTGTCCCCCTTGATCTCTGCAAATGTTCTCCTTCCATTGCCTAGAATAACTGCCCACTTGCTTCAACCGTCTGTAACTGCTCTTCCTTCACATGCTTTGCTTTGTCTGGTCACATGCTCTAAATGCAATCCTTGCATCGAAACACCTGTCAACCTTGCATCCTTCCATTTCCAATCATCAAAACAAACAGGCTTTGGCCATGTCAGCATCTCTGTCGACAAACCAAATTGCATATTTCAGTACCAAAAAAAAGTTATAAGAAAATAGAGAATAGGGTTCTCTCCCTTAATCCCTTATATTTATACTTATATAGGTGATTACAAAACTACCCTCCTAGCATATACATAACTAACAAACACATGGTTGGCTTGGTCAAACATGCTATTGTTGCATTTTGGATAAATTAAAGAAATTTGCAATCTATTTAGTTCACATTTATTTAATGTATGCTGGTGTTATTCAATGTTCAAATCCAATAAATAAGCTATATCAGGACCTGATATTTTGGGTGAATGACCATCCCACCTGATTTAGTGTCTCGTCTCGTAAACTTCAAGAATGTATATTTGTTCTTCTGCCTGACATGACCGGATAATTAGTATTAATTATTATTATCTATTAAGTATCTTTGTATTAAACAAAGTAGTCATTCCGATGATGGCTTATCATTACAATTTGGAATTTGCACCTGAAATTGTGTTGACATGTTATAGGTTGTTTTCTTTGCATGTGCAAATGACATAGAATGATTTATTAAACAAACTTTGGATGACCCCAAAACTGTGCTGTTGCGTTATTGTTTAAATAGGGAAGTTGTATCTTCTGTTAATATGGTAATTTTGGCACAGATTGAAGGAGCATTTATACAAGGCTTGGGATGGGTAGCCTTGGAAGAGCTAAAATGGGGTGATGCTGCGCATAGGTGGATTCGACTTGGCTCTTTATAGATGTGTGGGCCTAGAAGTTACAAAATTCCTTCCTTGAATGATGTTCCTTTCAAATTCAGCGTTTCACTTCTAAAGGTAAACACAATAGTCCCCTAAAAGTGTTTCCGATGTGCCATAGAAAAGAAATTGTTTCTTTTGTGTTTTACATTAGTGCACACGGATGGATATGGGTGAAATGAAGAATTCTTTGTAATCATCAAAATCATGACTCAAAACCTCAGAAATATTTAACAATTGCTAATATTCTAGACTAATTATGATTTCCAATTCTACTTCAATCATTATAGAGAACTTTAATGACTTTCTAATTCTACTTCAGTATCAAAATAGAAAATTTGGACTTTTGACTACTAAGATTATTCTAGATACAATAAAACACATATAAAATGACCCATGTAATAACTTGACCCAAAATAAAATCCTTGGGCAACCCGACAACCCATGTCCAACAGAACTGAAATTATCATAATATCCTTAACTACTAAACTACCATGGACACTTCTATAGGACCACTGGACTTTGTGTTGGGCTTCCACAGCCTATCATACTTGTTTAACCATGCAATAGATGTTGCATCAACAATAGTCCCTTCGCCTTTCATAGGTTG